TCTGATCAAAATTGGATTTTTTACAACCTTTTAAGTTGCTCTAAAATCGGGCCAAGATCACAAACTAAATTTCGTCAAAAATGAAAAGGAGAGAATTCTCCATTTTTATTACATTTCCTGATGCATATACATGTACTTATGTTGTGTAGAAAGTTTGAGCTGATTCCAATTAAAATTAGATTTTTTATGAATTTTTAAAGTTGCTCCAAATTCGGGTAAAAGTCCCTGTACTATAATAGTACATGGTTTCGGGCCAAATTTTGCCAAAAATGAAGAGGAGAGAATTCTCTATTTTTATTACATTTTCTGATACATATACATGCACTTATGCTGTGTAGAAAGTTTGAGCTCATTCCAATCAAAATTGAATTTTTTACAAATTTTTTAAGTTTCCAAATTCCTGGGTACATCCTGAAAAACCTCATGAATCATTCAATATGCTAAAAAAGAAACTGGCTCTATTGTATTAAATAAGATAAAAAATAAACACAATCATAATTATCTACATATTTTATTTTATCAATAATCCGTTGAATCAGTCCATTGCATGTTTCTGTGTCCATTCTTTAGCAGTTTCATCATACTGTGAACGATTCTTAGTGAATGCTGCATACACTTAAATTCACCACCAACAGCCCAGTCTGGATCAGGGTCAACCAGTAATGATCTCACTGTACTTAAAACTGCAATGTATAGTATATACAGTAAGTAATGGAGGCTGGTATTATTGGATAATGATTGTTGTACTTTTTGATATTTTTAAGGCTGGACTCCACCCATCATTGAGTATATCTAAACTAATCCAACCATCAGAATCAACATTCACATGATATATCTTAGTAGTGAACCACACCTGAGAGAAGAAGAGAGAGAGAGGAGATGGGTGTACATACAGAATTCATACACATACTTTTGGTGGTTTAAAGGGATATTCTTCATAAATTTCCATTTTTAAATAGAAGAGACCATTCTCATAAGGTGTCCCTGTTTGCAGAAAAAGATATATTATTTTCATAACTTTCATCACATATATTGTACCTTCAGGTCCTAGTATTGTTGCTTTCCATGTTCCATCTAAGAGCAATACATCAATAAGTAGACATATTCTTCATGGCTTACAATTCTCTGAGACTGACTCAGCATGACAGCCAACAGGTGGCTCATTCTTGATCTGATCTTCCTCCTGCATGGGATGGAGAGGGGACAGTGGACATTATAAAACTAGTCACACATTTTTTCATACACGTACCTTCTTTCATGACAGCTGGAATTTTAAAATGATCAGCCATTTTACTTAAACTGAGCTTTCTTTATGCACAATTCAGTAACAATTTGATAGCATCAGCACACACAGTAACACCATGACTCAGCATCATGAATAATGTCAATGAATGTGATTAGATTTACAACACTGTGCACTGTCACCCAACAATGCCAAAAAACATTTTGAGTGCTTTTCTACTTGCACCTATAGACTTGCACACTGTAGATCTTACATAATAGATATAAATCATCTTCTTGATCCTCTGAATCATATGCTGACAGTATAGACTGCTGACTGAGCACTGAAAGCACTGTGTGTGTGTACATCGTCATTAATTTTTGTAACCATTGTAAATTGAAAAAACATATTTAGAAAATAATTATCACATAAGCAGCAAAATAAAAAACTAATATGACACATGCATCTAAATATTAAACCAATTCATTTTTTTCTTTTTGTGTCAAAACTAATATCTACGTCTATGCTGTGATTTGCATTCCCTAATCCTCTCCAACCTACACAAAAAAAATAATTCTTTAATTAACTGATAGTACATGTACATGATGATACATGAGGTTTACTGACCTTGCTTCCTCTGCCTCTTGTATTTCTGATCTCTCTTTATCTGTTAACTCTTTCATTGTCTCTCTATTGTCTCTAAATAATTATAAACAGTAAGAGGCGTATGTAAGTGTTAGTCTCGCTAGCCAGACTCTAATTTACCGAATAAGAGTCTGGTGTCACGCCTAATATCAACTCGTGTTGCATTTGCCAAAAATGGGAGACCCAATGAAATTGCCGTGTCTATAGTTATTGCTTAGTTACCATGGTTACAGCGTCTTACTCCCACGTTTTTAAACATGGCTGAGAATTGTCTTTGCTGCGGTACAGAGATAAGAGACTTTTAACCTCTGAGTCCAGTAAACCTGTAGTCCCTACGCTAGTTGAACTCTTTGAGAGAAGCATGAAATTGAAGGGGGTAGAATTTCCGGGATGCGCTACATCTACAAACATCATGGAATGGACTACATGTAGATATGCATGCAAAAGTTGCTACAAGAAGCACTGATGCCAATATCTCTAAAATGTGAAGTCTGGTCTTTCATGAGAGCCTTTAGTAGGCAGACTATTATAGCAATAGATTCTCCTGCATGCATCCCGTGTCTCAGAGAATCAAAAACTCGAGGCAATAAACCATAAATGATACTTTTACCATAGCCAGTTGGCAAAGCAACAAAGGTATCATTTCCAGACATAAATGCGTCATAGCTTCCAACTGCTTATCTTTTAAAAGGTATCCAAAACTAGCTGCCACACTAGACACTGCTGCCTCTACTGCTTCCATGACCGCGGCACCGCGCTGCTTTAATGTTTATTCATAAAAAGAGTGGGCATGTCAGTAGGTCTGCCCACGCAAATCAAAACATTGAAAACACGAGTTGATATTAGGCGTGACACCAGACTCTTATTCGGTAAATTAGAGTCTGGCTAGCGAGACTATGTAAGTGTGTGTGTATACATAATGTGTGTGTGTGTTCAGTAGTACTTGTAATATATGACACCTCCATCACTATATAGTCCTAATGAATAAATGTCTGAAGTGATGGGATACCATTCAAACTTATTCTCAATATCAAGACATGATATCTCAACTGGAAATGATTTTCCCTAACAGAATCATTGAGAGTATTAATACGTACATGTTTCAATGATTAACCTTTCTACAATAGATATACTCAGCAGGAACTCCACTTAACTCTGACAGCTGCAAAGGAATATATAATTAAAAACAATGACAATAATAATAATAATCGTAAATATACACCCACTTAATATTCATTAATGTCATTGAGTTTCATTTTCAGTTAAAACTTAAAATTTTAGAATTTAAAATGTAAAAATAATTGGGTATATAACTAACTTCTATAACTAACTTCTACCATGACATTTGAAAAACAACTACCAGCTGCTGATAATAAGACCACAGTTGACATACATACAACATATCTAACAGGCTAGGCCAGTAAAGAATCAACCAAACTTGACAAATGGACTAATAAGAGCATAAGCGTAGAGCACCAAACTGCCAATCAATTAATTATTTAACGAGATAGGTTTATATTTTTACGAGCTAGGTTAATATGAAAAATAATTGACCTTCAATACTGCAATTTGATTGGTCAATCGCAAGGTGGCATGGTAGAATAAGAGCATAAGCGTAGAGCGCCAGGTTTCTAAGTGTTCCCCGGGAGGTATCAAATAGATTTAGAAACCCCAGTTTTCTGCAATCTGATTGGTCAATTAAAACTTGGCATAACATTACTATCATTACTAAAATTTCCCAAACTTTGGCAGAGGTTTCTAAATAATTTCCCGGGGTATTATAAGTGATTTAGACACCTCATACAATAAAATCTGATTGGTCAATTCAAAAAAGCATGGTAGAATTATATATATATACATTGCAGGGCTGGATTCCAGAGGAGGTAGGACACGGTTGACCTTTGATTAATAATTGCAAAGTTCAATTACATTCCATTGGTATCACGTGATGCAAAATGGCCAAATTCTTCCACTAGTACCACTTCTAACAATAATTTAGAGCATCAAGATAGAGTCAATGGGACTTTCATTAATTCACTAGAAACTATGATAGGTGCAGTAATTTTTAACATCTTAAACTAGCGAAGATTGATTTATCTGATGAAGTAAAGAAGAGAATCAAAGTTAAGATGCACTGTCTCTTTCTCCTTCTTATATTCATGTCTATAATCAAAGAAGAAATATTCTCCATACAATGGTGAT